GAGAGTCTTAAGAACATTGAAGACTAACAATCAAACGACAAATGATCATATTGCATTATTTGCCATTCTGCCTTCTTGGACAGATGGGCAGATATTGGCAATCTGTTGGTATCTGTTGGCAAGAAGGAAAAACACTCTGCTCTTGCTCAAGAACTGCCTAGACAGAGATGAAGGGAAGAGGGGGAAAAAATCATTTCTATGTGCCAAAGCTTAACAATATCACAGCTTATTATCAATCATAGTTTGTATCATCCGGACAAAACTAATGTGGTTTTGCTTGTCAGTTGAGTTTCCCAAGCTAAACTTTAAAAAAGGAGTCCTTTGTGATACTGAGCCTTAAATGATGGAAATTTTCTATGCAAGTGGGAAGAATAAGGCATGGATTCAGTTCAAAAGTAAAACAAATGACCCTTTAAATGAATATGGCTCTTTTTAGAATGCAAGTTCTAAGATGCATTATTCCAGCTATACAAAACAACAATGAAAATTGTTTTTAGCAAAAGGTCTGCAGATGCCTTCAAAGCAAAGAGGTGCTTCAGGACAAAAAGTGACTTTAACCATCTTTCCATCTTTAACAGTTGGTTTGTTTTCCTCTTGTGAGAAATCAGATGGAAATAGAAGCTTAAAAATCCCCACTGCAATGACATTTGGAGGGGAAAAAAACAGCAACATTGTTTTTGGCTAATTATTGTTAAATTAATTGCTTAATGATTAAGGTGCCAGAAACCAGGAGGCAGTGAATGTTATTTCTGATTTAGGCATGAAAGCTGGTTGGGCCAGTCACTCTCTTCAAGTCCAACCCACCTCACAGGATTGTTGTGAAGAAAATGGGGAGGGGGAGGAGGAAGGAATATTAGGTCCATTCAATTCTTGAGATAGTTAATAAAGATGAAATAAAAATCTAATCAATAAATCAATCAGAGTTGATCATTCAACCATATGCAAACTGTTGCTAGTTAATATTTTATTTGACATCTGGAGTGAGCAGAGTAATTGAAGTTGAACAGAGACGGCAGCCCCTGTTCTGGAAGCTGGCCTGCTGATGCCAGAATCCATTACTTAAATACAGCAAGATTCATAGTGTGGGATCAGTTTCTCCTCTGTGCTTGTTAAAGATGATTTTTAATGGTCATTTATTGCAGTATAATGATAGAGCGAGGATAATTCAGCCAAGAATAAGCAAATAAGAAGAATGTTATAGGATTGAAGCTAACCCAACATTCATCCTCAAGTAGAATATAGCAATGCAGAAGCATTTGGGATTTGGGGGGTATCCGACAGAGCTCTGAGGGTACCCCAAGTTTACAGTTCTCAAATGTTGCAGTCTTTTCTCTCTCCCGCCCCTCCCCACTTTATCTGCGTCCCTTGGGAGTTGGGCGGCATAGAAATTTGATAAATTAAATAATTAAATTAAATTAGACATTGGAGCATATCAGGTCATTCATTTCGGCCAGGTTCAACTCCATGCCGGACTTTGTCTTTTGGGGGGTTCCTTTGACTCCCGATTTCAGATATTTCTCTTTGCTGGGAATGACTTGGATGTACTGATCGTTGCCACTGGTGGGCTGATCGCTGCTCGATTCAGGAGAAATGGAATCCGACTCGGTGGGGGATGGAACCGGTTTGGGTTTGGGCTTGGCTTTGGCAGGGTGTTCTGGGTAATGCTGGTCGAATTCAATATTCTTCAGGTGTATCTTTCTGTGAGGATGGGGTCCCCTGCTGTAGGTCAACCCAAAACCATCTTCCCAAGACTTGTAGTGCATTTTCGCTAGAGACCTGCTCGGCAGAACCTGGTTGTCGGTCCACTCCCCGATGTAGAAGCGAGGGGGGGCCCGAAGGTCCGACAAGGACCGTGGGCGGTGAGTCTGCCTAGCGACGCCTCTTCTGTACTCTTCTTCTTCCTCCTCAGTGTAATGAGGCGAGTAGGCCCTGCGGGGCGTTCGGACCACGTATCTTCTGACGTGACGCGGATACAACTCCACGAAGTCACCTGCCTCGTCCATCCGGATGTTCCTTGGCAGCCGAGTTGTGGCACGGAAGATTTTTTTACGGGGCTGATGCTCGTTGACAAGGTAGTACTTGGCTGTGTGAGCTCTGCGGCTCACAAAAGGGGGGCCCCCGGGGGGCCCGTGAGGCTCCGGCTTCATTTGGGGAGGCACTTTCTGAACAAGGGCTCTGAATGAACATCTTCCACGGGTTTCTTCACCTTTACAGGAGTATAGGCTTTGGTTTTGCAGAGTTCACTAGCACTCCCATGGATCGGGTTTGGGTATCTAAGAAAGGGAGAGAGGGGCCGGATCAGTGGTGAAATCCAATTTTTTTTATTACAGCTTCTGTGGGCGTGGCTTGGTGGGTGTGGTGTGGCTTGGTGGGTGTGGCTTGGTGGGCATGGCAGGGGAAGGATACTGCAAAATCTCCATTCCCACCCCACTCCAGAGAAAGAATCCTGAAAAATCCCCATTCCCTCCCCACTCCTGGGGAAAGGATACTGCAAAATCCCCATTCCCTCCCCACTCCTGGGGGAAGGATATTGCAAAATCTCCACTCCCACCCCACTCCTGGGGAAAGGATACTGCAAAATCCCCATTCCCTCCCCACTCCTGGGGAAAGGATACTGCAAAATCCCCATTCCCTCCCCACTCCTGGGGAAAGGATACTGCAAAATCTCCACTACCACCCCACTCCTGGGGACAGGATACTGCAAAATCCCCATTCCCTCCCCACTCCTGGGGGAAGGATATTGCAAAATCCCCATTCCCTCCCCACTCCTGGAGAAAGGATACTGCATAATCCCCATTCCCTCCCCACTCCTGGGGGAAGGATATTGCAAAATCCCCATTCCCTCCCCACTCCTGGGGGAAGGATATTGCAAAATCTCCATTCCCACCCCACTTTGGGGCCAGCCAGAGGTGGTATTTGCCAGTTCTCCGAACTGCTCAAAATTTCCGCTACCGGTTCTCCAGAACCTGCTGGATTTGACCCCTGGGCAGGATGGCTAAATGGTTTGGTCTACTGGTTATGTCATGGCCCCCTGGTGACCAGCAGAGCTGGCAGCAGAGTCGGACAGCGAGGAGGTTGGGGAGGAACATGGGCCAATCCTGGAGGCTGGGGAAAGCTCGGATGAGGACTCTGCATCGGAGGCAGAGAGGGAATTAGACAGCAGTGAGGCAGAGGAACAGCTGGAGCCCGTTCCCAGTGTGTGCATGCACAGAGCTGCCAGAAGACAAGAACAACTCAGAAAGCAGGGTCGACTCAGGAGTAAAGCCACACCTTGGAGCTGATTGGCCCCTCCCATAGGAAACAAAAGAGGAGCGAACGGGGAGGGGGCTTTTGCAGGAAACAATTCGTTCATTTGGTAGTTTCATTCAGAAAGTTCTGTTCGTGACTCTAAGAGACTCTGTGCCAAGTTTTGCCTTACTCTGCGGTTGGAAACAAGTTACGTGGCAGCTTGCCAAGCAAGATAAGGTGTGTTGAGAAATATTTCTTTGAAAAGCTATTTGGACAAACCTTGCTGACTGTGAATGAAAGTAATTCAAAAGAGGTTTTGCCGGGATCAATTCCTGCTTCCTGCTTTTTTTTTTTTTAATTTGATTTATATGCCGCCCTTCCCCGGAGACTCAGGATGGCTTACAATGCATTAAGCAATAGCCTTCATACTTTTGTATATTTATAGAAAGTCAGCTTATTTCCCCCACAAACTGGGTCCTCAATTTACCCACCTTAGAAAGGATGGAAGGCTGAGTCAACCTTGAGCCTGGCGAGATTCGAACTTACTTTAATTGCAGACAGCTGGTGTTAAATTACAGTGCTTTTGTCTGCAGAGCTATCCAGGCTCTAAGGGAGCCTAGGTCAGAACAGGTTAAGACACCAGGCTAGAAAGCAGGACACTACAGGTTCAAGTCCCACCTTAGGCATGAAAGGCAGTTAGGTGACTTTGGGACAATCACCAGGAAACTGTGAATTCTAGTCCCGCCTTAGCCATGAAAACCAGTTGGGTGACTTTGGGCCAATCATCAGGAGATGGTGGGTTCTAGTCCCACCTTAGGCATGAAAGCCATCTGGATGACTATGGGCCAATCACAAGGAGAGAGTGAGTTCTAGTCCCACATGAAAGCCAGTTGGGTAACTTTGGGTGGTTACTGTCTCTGGTTTCTCTCTAGATCCTGGGAAGGGTCTTACCTGTTGATTGAAGGTTCTGTTCTAGGTTTCACCATCTCAGGAATAGGTGGCGTTGGAGTGACGGGTATTGGCGCTACAGGTGTCGGAATACCTGGATTATCTTTTGCTGGGGATGGTCCCACTGCTTTCAGTATTTCAGGTGGTGGCACTGATTGAGATATTGTCTGTATTTGGCTGGCTTTAGGAGATTCAAAGTTTACTACACTGCCGTTTTTCCTAGGGGTTGAGGACCGAGCTGAAGACTCCTGACTGATGACGTCAGTCTCCTGTTCGGGCCTCTTGCCATTTCCTTCTACGTTTTGGATTCTAGCTAAAAAATAAAGTTTACGGGGGGAAAAATCAATCATAGCTTCTTCGGTCATCAGCTGGAACTGATCAATATAGTGTAACACATATTTGATTCATGCATGAACCCTAGTAACGCAACCTGCATCCTCCAGCTGAATTTTCCCATCATGTTAAAATGCGACATGCTTTAATCATGGCTTGTTAAACAAGAACCAGAAGCTGGAGTCACACATTATCCTAAACCATAAACCATGATGTGCCAACTTTATAAGCCACAACCAAAGTAAAACGAAGTATGGCTTAGTGCACTCTTAAATTCAAAACTCCGGTGAGAACAGAATTGCCCAGAATTCTTGCAGAATTCTTGAATTCTGATTGTAGCTCAGTCCTAAGAGTTTCAAAAGCTGATTCTCTAATGAATGCCTTGGTCTGAAATTTGTCACAATCTTCTTCTGGTTCTTTCTGTATCAAGTAAATATATCGTATTTTCTGGAGTATAAGACGCACCTTTTTTCTCCCTAAAAGGGGGTGAAAATTTGGGTGCGTCTTATACACTGAATGTAGCCCTGCCCACCCACTGGCCCCCAGCCTATAGCCTTTGCCTCCCAGCAATTTACCTCCTTGCAGCAAGCAGCAAGAAGAAACAGCTCATTTCAGCTTCAGCACAGCCTAATTAGCACAAGTTGATTGTTGATTGGATCGGCCTCCCTACTCTGCAGGGCTGCAGGGATTGCCATTGCCTATTGCTGTGTGGGCCTCTGCTGCTTGCTGCAAGGAGGTAAATTGCTGGGAGCAGATTTTTTTTTTCTTGTGCTAATCAAGCTATGCCGAAAACGAAATTGAAAGTAAAGCAGGCTGTTTGCTGTTTGCTGCAATGAGGCAAAATTGCTGGGAGGCAGAGGCAGATTTCTTTTTCTTGTTTTCCTCACCAAAAAAGGTAGGTGCGTCTTATAGTCCGGAGCGTCTTATACTCTGAAAAATACGGTAGCTAGGCTAGTCTCCATATGTTTCCTATGACCGCTTTTTCTTTCGATTATTATTGCATTTTGGGAAAAGATAACTGATTAACGTATACAGTCCAATAATGTTAAGTGCCTTATGGAAGTTTCTGCTTACCTGCTGCCATTTGGACCACTTTTTTCTTGTCTTCAGTTCTTTCCTATAACAGAGATCAAATTAATTAGTTAAAAGTTCAGCCTTATATAATACTTCTGTTGAAAAAAAAAACCCAATGCACTCACACATCAAATGAAGTTTGTGGGTATAAAAGTGATGTGCATTGCTACCCACCCGTTGATTTATTCTTCCTTCTGTTAAGAATTATTATTTTTTAAAAAAAAAAAAATCAGAAACATGGTATGAACATTTAATCAGCACTTACTGTTTGGATCTGCATCCTTAGTTGGTTGTTGGTGAATTTTAATGACCTCGCAATACTCTGCAGGTAATATATTAGCATGCTGGAGGAAAAAAATATATATCAGGAGAGAGGCTTTTGATTTACATCACATTAAATTGAAAGACCTGAATAAATAGAATTACAATAATTCGTTTCCATAATAAGGAGATTTCTTCCCAGCAACTGGCAATAATATATAGTAACCTTGTTTGGATTTAGAAGCTAAGCCAGGGCAGACCTGATTAATACTTAGAAGGCACTAAGCATAACTCAACATATTAGCTATCTATATGCAGAGATCTTTTTCAGTATTATGAGCCTTGGTGGTGCAGTGGTTAGAGTGCAGTACTGCAGGCTACTTCTGCAGACTGCCAGCTGACTGCAATTTGGCAGTTCAAATCTCACCAGGCTCAAGGTTGGCTCAACCTTCTGTCCTTCCGAGGTGGGTAAAATGAGGATCCAGATTTTGGGGGGCAATACGCTGACTCTGTAAACTGCTTAGAAAGGGCTGTAAAAGCACTATGAAGCAGTATATAAATGCTATTGCTATTGCTATTCTGGTTTTGCATCTTGTGTGAATTTAGTCTATTGGGTTTAATGCATCCTGCAAACCGGATTAAGGGTTAATTTAATAATTAGGAAGCCTGTTGGTCAGGAAGTGTGGGAGACAGTGTAGCATGAGGGTTAAAGTTGGGATTGGAGATCCAGGTTTAGGTTTCAAGAGATGCGGTGGCGCAGTGGTTAGAGTGCAGTACTGCAGGCTACTTCTGCTGATGCCGGCTGACTGCAGTTTGGCAGTTCAAATCCCACCAGGCTCAAGGTTGACTCAGCCTTCCATCCTTCCGAGGTGGGTAAAATGAGGACCCAGATTGTTGGGGGCCATGGGCTGACTCTGTAAACCGTTTAGAGAGGGCTGTGAAGCACCGTAAAGCGGTATATAAATCTAAGTGGCCTGGCCTAAATCTTCCCCCTTTTAATGTGGAAATTTTAAATTTGTTTTAATTATAGGATTATGGGTAAGGCGTTTTAAATTGGGGAGCCATTTTGGATTTAATTTTTGTTTTAAATGTATTTTAATGTTTATATTGTATGTTTTTTAATCTTGGCTGTTCACTGCCCCGAGTCCTTTGGGAGAGGGGGCGGTATAAAAATTTAATAAATATAAATATATAAATATAAGTGCTATTACTATTGCTATTTGCTATCATTATTTCTTAGCCTCTCCCATTTGCTGGCTAAAATGGAAGTTCTCCCACGATAACAACATGGACAGATTCTTCTGGACACATAGCTTGGAGTCCACTTGAAATGCTGACCACAAAATCAAATAAAAGTATTTAGACTTACAAGAGTAATAACAAAGCTGGAAGGACCACCACGGGACTACTGAGGTAAGCCATCACAGAGTTGAACCAGGGAGGAAAGTCATTTCGAATAGTTTCAGACACAATGTCATAGATTTTTTCTTGCCCACTAGATGAGAAACATTCAGCTGTTTGTCTCAGAAAATCTGCAGCATTTTAAACATTCCAAAATAATTTTCTGTTCACACCCAAGCTTTGAGCTAGGAAGACTTTGGGCCTTTTATTTTCCTGAGGAAAAATAACCACCAATTCAGTGGTGGGTTGACCCCGGTTCAGACCGGTTCGCAAGAACCGGTAGTAAAACTGGCGGGAGGCTCCGCCCACTGACCTGGACGTCATCAGAACACTTTTGCGCATGTGCGGCCCCATTGCGAACCAATAGTAAAGGTAAGTAGAACCCACCCCTGCACCAATTGAGTAAGTTGGAGGGATAAAGCCCATACTTGGATAGACCACAAGTTTCCTATAAAACAACTTGGGATTCAAACGTTTTCAAGCTGAATTCAAGGCTTCTTATCTACCTCCATTTTGAGGAGAAGCAACCTGTGATCTTCACTGGTTGCTGAACCTCAACTCCCAGAAGACCATGTAAATAAAGCCAATTAAGAGGGGTAGATCAGCAACCTGATCAGCAGACTATCCCAGTTCAACCCAGTTCTTTACTGCACCCAAATTTTCAAACATAGTTCATTTTCATGGCATGTGTCCTTCACTTTATGAGAAATGTTGCATAAAATACATGCAAAGAGCTATCTAATTATGAGAAATCAGCACTCCACAATCACAATATCTTCGAATAACATTATTTGTGGAATGAACTTTGATTTTGTAGATGCTTCCCTGTTTGTTTGTTTTTTAAGTTAACACAAAGTAGGTGATTGCTTTGAATATTGCTTAAAATACTAAATGAAGCAATGCCAGTATCTACTTACCTAAATGGGCCACAGGTTAGAGATGGCTTGTAGCGAGCAATAGCAAAGATCGTTGGGAGCATACACAGAAAGAGCATAAATAGAAGCATAGCTAAGTAGAAGTTGTTAGATCTGAAAAGGAAGATCGCATTGTTAGGCCTTTTAAAACCCCAACTATAAGGCCAAGTACCAACGTCTGTTGGTAGTATTATTAATATTATTGTCAGTAGTAAACTTTTTAAAGTGTGTAATACCTCAGTAGCCTTATAAAGATATGTTATTACGGATAAAATATACATATATTTTCTATTTACTTAATCTTGTTCAACTCTCCTTCTCTAAAATAATGCAAGGGTTCAAATTTTAGCCCTGGCTTTTTAAAAGCATCCCACAAACATTTAATGGCTAGAACCATAACAAAGAAAGGTGGAGGAATTACTTCAACACTGCAGTGTGGTTAAATTGCATATTTTATCTTCCAGTCACTATTTCGAGATGCTAACAAGACTTTATGTAGCCGCATGCAGTAATTTGGAGGGGAGAAACCTATGAGGGGACCTAGGTATGTTTAGCCTATCAACGGGAAGGGACATGATAACTGCCTTCCAGTACTTGAAGGGCTGTCGTAGAATAAAATAAATAAATAAATAATTTTATTTCTATATCACCCTTCTCCCGAAGGACTCAGGGCATTGTACAGCCTATTAAAAGCACAAAGACAGACATCAGTTAAAATTAATTAAAATTATTACATAATTTCGGCTCAGATTTAAAACCCCAAAAATTTAAAACACCCAATTTAAAAATCATTACATTGATAGCCCGGCTTGGCGGAACAACAGGGTCTTGAGTGCGCAGCGAAATGCCCGGAGGTTGGAGATCTTACGCATTTCCGGGGGCAGTTCATTCCATAGGGCAGGGGCTCCCACAGAGAAGGCCCTCCCCCTGGGTGTCGCCAGCCGACATAACTTGGCAGATGGCACCCTGAGGAGACCCTCTCTGTGGGAGCAAACTGGCCGGTGGGAGGCTGTTGGTGGCAGAAGTCGGTCTCGAAGATACCCGGGTCCTATGCCATGGAGCGCTTTAAAGGTGGTGACCAACACCTTGAATCGCACCCGGAAGACCACTGGGAGCCAGTGCAGCTCGCGCAGGAGAGAAGAAGAAGGATTGACTTATTCTACAAAACACCAGGGACCAAGGCAAGTAATCGGTGGAAGCATGTTAAGGAGAGATCTAACTTAGAAGTAAGAAGACATTTTCTGACAGTGGGAACAATTGCTGTATTTTTCGGAGTATAAGACGCTACAGACTATAAGATGCACCTACCTTTTTGGGGGAGGAAAACAAGGGGGAAAAAATCCACCTCTGCCTCCCAGCAATTTGCCTCCTTGCAGCAAATAGCCTGAACCCAGAAGGATATTTCTTCCTATAGTCTAAAAAGCCAAGTCAAATTAAACAAACTGAGGTGCCTAATCTATTCGGTTTTTTGATCCTTAAATGTTTCTTTTGGTTTTGTTTTTAACCAACGATTGTGAGAACAATTACTGTACAAGCCTATAGGCAAAGTAACCAACCTTGAAGCTCGGAAGACTTGCTGATGTGGGACATTACAGGTCAACACTGCCCAACTTCTCAGGTACATCAACCCAATCAGCTTGAGGACATTGAACGCAGGCAGGCAGGGGGAAAAGAAGGCTCCCATCCTAGGAATGGAGACAACCAGAGCCCACTCATCAATGTTTTAATTTGGGAAGTAGGATATTAATGAACAAGCTTTTCCTTGCTTCACTTGGAATGGGTTTAGTTATTGATGAGTTTGGCCAACATGAAGAGATGAATTTGGCCATCACACATTGTTCTGACCTAGGCTTCCCAAGAGCATGAAGCAGACTCCTCGTCCCGATAAAACCTCTTTTATTTAGGGAAATTCCTCTCCAGCAAAGTCCCAGCCAACAGTCCTTCATGAGTTTTCACAACTACAGCGGCAGTAATTACTTGGCAAGAAGTCAGGAACAGATCTTCACCCTAATGAATTGAACTAATTGTCTCCTGCAAACTCCTCTCCCCTTTTGCTCCTCTTTATTCCCTATGGGAGGGGCCATTCACCGTCCACCTGTGGCTTTACTCCTGAGTCGACCCTTGTTCTTTAGCTGTTCCCTTCTCCTGGCAGCCCTGTGCATGCTCACACTGGGAACAGGCTCCAGCTGTTCTTATGCCCCACTGATGTCCGACTCCGAAGGCAGCTGACAACTGTCAGACGGCCCTGGCCCCATCTCTGCCTCTAACGTAGAGCACTCATCAGAGCCTTCCCCAGACTCCAGGACCGGCCCATGTTCCTCCCCAACCTCATCACTGTCTGAGTCTGCCACCAGCTCCGCTGGCCACTCATGAGCAAAGTTTCACACCAAGATTAACACTAGACCAGCCACCGAGTAAACAATGCCCCACTCAATGAACTACTAATGCAGACAAGCTAACACTATACAACCCTTAGTAAACAATTTCCCTTTTTTGGAATGCAATACGACTGTAAGTTCCTCAAATATTAATGATCTCTAAAATAAACAGAATGAAGTTAATTTGTTACCAGATCATCCCTTGATTGTAGACCAAATGCAGGACATTTTCTGCTATTTTGAATTCCCCATATTCTGGCTGCAAAGTAACAACAACAATAAAAAAAAATATTCAGTAGCAATTTTTTTAAAAAAAGAGATACACCTGGGGCACTTTTTTCTGTCAGCTCCCTTTGACCCTTTTAAAAAATTATGCAGGGTGAAAGAGTTTCTGTTTTCATGGGTTATATTTATCATTATTTACTGTATTACAAATTTTGACTTTTTGCAGCCACAACCGCTTCTCATGATTGTTTGAAGGGATTTAAATATTTTATTATTTTTCAACATAGGCTGACAAATAATTTTATTTCTGCAGGCTCCTCTGAGAGGGTCTTGGGTAATTTCAGGGGTCATCTGTCCAGACTTTAAGAAATACTGATTTTAGGCATTTAGTGAATGAGCTCTGCTCTCGGGTTATGGATTCAGATGAAATAAATGGAACACTGCCACCTATTGGTTGAAAGTGTTATGCGCCACTCATTGAAAGCAATGGAGAAGGAAGATTTAGGAAGGGCCGTACATCCATGGAATATAGCAATAGCAATTGCACGTAGACTTACATACCGCTTCACAGTGCCTTCTCTAAACAGTTTACAGAGTCAGTATATTGCTCCCAACAATCTGGGTACTCATTTTACCGACCTCAGAAGGATGGAAGGCTGAGTCAAACTTGAACTGGTCAGGATCGAACTCCTGGCAGTGGGCAGAGTTAGCCTGCAATACTGCATTCTAACCACTGCGCCACTACAGCTCTAATTTGTACCTTTTTATTATTTGTTTGAATCCAATACTCACAAACTTGCTTTCTAGATCCCAGCACCAACAGTCACTTAAGTACCGGACAAAAAGCCCACGGAAGAAATCAATCAGGAGGATGCTAGCTACTGTGAACAGCATATCGATAATTGACAATTTCAACATCTCCTGAAAGAAATCACAAACACAATGCAATGATCAACAGTAACACTTAAAAAAAAAATACACACCCCAAAAACTTGTGTTACTACCTAGGCATTTAATATTAAAATGGGTAACGTATTTATAAGTGGAGTATTTATAGAAAAAAATTAGCAGGGTCCTTGATACTTTAGAAACAGAAGAAGCAATAATGGTAAGGATGGGAAGATAGGTCTCCCTTGATCTTCATGCCAAACATTTCTTCACTTCTGGTGCCACCAATGGAAAAAGAAAATAGCTTGGGTAAGGTTGACATTTTCCATAAAATGAAAAAGGTCTTTTGCAGTTGTTGTTTGTTTTGTTTGTTGTTTTATTAAATTTATGTACTGCCCTACTCCCGAAGAACTCAGGGCGGTGAACAGGCACAGAATAAAATACATAAATACAAAAGTTAGAAACATAATTAAAACCAAATTAAATAATTTAGCCCAAGACAATTAAAAATCCCAATAATTTAAAACTTAAGAGCATGGCGGAAAATGCGCAGATCCGGGATCCTCCGTATATCCGGGGGGAGCTCGTTCCAGATAGTGGGTACCCCCACAGAGAAGGCCCTCCCCCTGCTTGGCTGATGGCACCCGGAGGAGCCCCTCTCTATGGGAGCGTACCGGCCGGTGGGAGGCTGTTTGTGGTAGTAGGCAGTCCCTAAATAACCAGGTCCTAAGCCATGGAGCGCTCTAAAGGTGGTAACCAAAACCTTGAAGCAGTCACGACATAAGCCTAAGACTGAAAATCAGGCCTGTCAGATGTTACATCTTTTCTATCCTGCTCTACGGAGTGGAGAGTTGGTCTCTGACAGAAAACCACTTGAAGAAACCAGAAGCATTTGAAATGTGGATTTACAGACGGCTGTTACATATAAACTGGCTTAACAAAATCACAAATGAGGAGGTGTTAAGACGCTTGGGAAAGCCAAGGGAAATCATCAAAGCCATTAAAAAGCGAAAGTTAGAATATTTTTGACATGTGATGCGACAGCCAGAAAAATACGGCATCCCTCACTTAATCCTCCAGGGAAAGATTGAAGGCAAACGAGGTCCAGGCAGAAGAAGAACATCATGGCTTCAAAACCTAAGGGATTGGTTTGGACAAGACTCAGCAGCACTTTTTCATGCGGCTGTTGACAAAAATAGGATGGCCAACATGATCACCAACATCTGATGACGGATATGGAAGAAGAGGAAGAAGAAGAAAAAGAAGGAGAAGGAGAAGGAGAAGGAGAAGGAGGAGAAGGAGAAGGAGAAGGAGGAGGAGGAGAAGAAGAAGAAGAAGAAGAAGAAGAAGAAGAAGAAGAAGAAGAAGAAGAAGAAGAAGAAGAAGAAGAAGAAGAAGAAGAAGAAGAAGAAGAAGGACACATACTTGACCAACATAGGTCTCCCAGCATTGACTTTGGTGACTTCTGCTGTTGAAGTCATAAGGTGCTGTATTGTTGAGTTGAATCAGGTGAGCGTAGCTTTGGGTGTGATTCTCAGATAGAAGGAAAGTGCCATTCTTAATTGTTTGCATATTTGGAGTTGGGGTTGAAAAGTTGTGCTCCAGAAGGATTTTTGCTGCTAAGAAGGTAGTGGTATCCACGGCGTTACTTCTATTTTTAAGAACTTCAGTCTCCTGAAATCATACATTGAAATTTAATCTCAGAGTGGTCCTTCCACCTTCCCAGTCCTGTTTAAAGCTTTTAAGTCACAGTCTGCAGCCTCAAGAATATATGGGCTTTGCCAAAATCCAGGCAGTAAAGCCTAGAGTTTCCCTCCTACCCCAAAATTACTGCTTAATTATAATTGCCAATGTGCTAAGAGAATTTTTTTTAAAAAAAAAATGTTTAAATTAATTCATGTTTATTTCTTATCTTGAGTATACTCAATGTTGTCTTTCCAATATCACTTTTTGGAATGCAGTCACAACAACCAGAACATCCTTGGTTAGGGGATGGAAGTAAACTAATTGCTTATTCTGTTATTCTTATATAGTACTTCTTTTTTACCTGCAGTAATGCAACTTATCCTGTTATGTCAAGTTTATGAATCACGTGGATTGAATTTCTGTTATAAAATCATTCTTATATTCCAACCAGTGGTGGGTTGCTACCAGTTCGCCCCGAATCAGGCAAACCCGTAGCGGCAGCAGCAGGAGCTTCGCGCACCCGCCCGGATGTCTCTGCACATGCGCAGAAGCGTCATGCGTGCACATGCACATGCAACGAAATTGAAACCCACTATTGATTCCAACCCAAATGAGATCATATTTATGAGGTAATATTTTTTAAAATAAATATGACCAATAAAAGGGACAAGGCAGAATATGAGAGAGTTCACACTTTATCATTTTTACAATGAAGTATTGAAGCGTTTCAGAGGCATAATTCTGTCTCAACTCTTTGCTGAGGTGTTTTAGTTCAACAAAAAAATCCCTACTCGTTTCAAGGGGATTACTGCAAAGCAGAGAGATCATCTTGCTACCCAAGAAGATGGTTACGACTTGCAACTTACAACAAAGCTCATGCTATCCACTTTATCCAGAAGGGCGATGATCAAGCTGTAGAGATTTCCCAAATATAAGACCAAAACTCTGTGAGGGGGGGAAAAAGCCAAGAGACAAAAATTGGCAAATGTTTTTCCACTGGAAGTCCACTCCTATTCCATCTGCCACACCAGGTGGAAATGGCAGAGGCCGTTTTCATTTTGCTAAATTGTTTATTTATTTATTTGATTTATATTGCCACCTATTCTCCCATGGCGACTCAAGGCGGCTTACAGAATATAAAAAACCACATTTAAAAAACAGTAAAACTCAAAAAATCAAATAAATTAATGTAATAAAATCACCCCTGACCCTCATCTCCTGCCCCAGCGACAGCCAATCACACAAGCCATTTAATGGGCTCCATCCCGCTCTGGGTTCCCCAGGCCCGCTGGCAAAACCAGGTCTTCAGTGCCTTCCAGAAGAGTGTTAAGAGTGGGGGCCATTCTAATCTCTGGGGGGATGATGTTCCAGAGAGAGAGGGGGTCACCACGGAGAAGGCACTTCTTCTGGATCCCACCAGGTGTATCTCCCTAAGGGATGGGATCCGCAACATTCCCTGCCTCCCTGCTCTGATGGGTCAGCTAGATATGACCGGCTAGAGACGGTCCCTCAGATAACCTGGTCCCAAGCCATGAAGGGCTTTAAAGGTGACAACCAGCACCTTGACCTGCACCCAGAAGCAAATCGGCAACCAATGCAGCTTCCGCAGGAGAGGTGATATATGTGCACACGTGGTCTGCACAAAACCGTGCGGGCCACTGCATTTTGCACCAACTGGAGCTTCCGGATGCTCTTCATGTTGTGGGATGCAGTTGATTTCCCATACCTGGCAAGCTGGAAACGAAGAGTAGTTCGGGGGTGATACATCTCTAATGCAGCTATCAGTTCAAATGCAGATGGTGCAAGCATGGTGATGAGAGACACAACCACGCTCACCTGGAAATAAGAGAAGGTTGTGTTATTTTCAGAAAAAAGTGCTTGATTTTTATGCAACTGTTAAACCATTATGTATATCAGAATACAGCTCTTCATTGAGAGCTATAGAACTTTATTTATTTCATTTATTTATTTAGTTTGTCAAACATGTACGAGATAACAGGTATAAGGATAAACATGGACATGAGCACAGGTAACGAGTACAAATAAAGGGGGACAGAAGGACAGGGACGGTAGGTACACTGGTGCGCTTATGCACGCCCCCTTTACGGACCTCTTAGGAATGGGGTGAAGTCCACAGTAGACAGTTTAAGGTTGAAGCTGTGGGGGTTTGAGGCTGTAACAACCGAGTTGGGTAGAGCATTCCAGGCGTTGACCACTCGGTTGCTGAAGTCGTATTTTCTGCAATCGAGTTTGGAGCAGTTTACCTTGAGTTTGTATTTATTGTTTGCCCGAGTATTATTGAGGTTGAAGTTGAAGTAGTCATTGACAGGTAGGACATTGTAGCAGACAATTTTGTGTACTATACTTAGGTCAGACCATAGGCGGCGTAGTTCCAGGTTGTGCAAGCCTAAAATTTCAAGCCTGGTGGCCTATTGTGAGCAGAGGAGTAGAATACTCGTCTTGTGAAATACCTCTGGACCTGCTCAACTGTATTAATGTCCGATATACAGTGTGGGTTCCAGGCAGACAAGCTGTATTCGAGAATTGGTCTGGCAAAGGTTTTGTATACAGTTCGATGTTACCAGAGAAGACGTTTCGCAAAATTAGGTTAACAACTCTTAATGCCTTTTTGGCAACGCTGTTACAGTGAGCTCTGGGGCTTAGATCATTTGAGATGAGTACTCCTAGGTCCTTGACAGAGTTCATCTTTGACAGATAGGTGTCACAACTCAAAAATAATCTTGGGCACAGACACTCACCCACAAAAGCATTTAGACAGTGATATCCATTTCTGTAGAGGTATTTCTATTCACATTCATTTTCTTAAAAGCCATTTTATCAAATGATTTTCCATGATAGAATGAATGTATTTAATATTTTCAGCAAATTATGCATTCGGGGTTTTTGTTTTCTTAACGTATTCTTATATGATGTTTTAAAAGCGAGAGTGCAAATATTTTGAGCATCAAAATACAGTCAAGTTTCAGTTTATTCATTGATTTGAAAGTCTAAAATGAAGACAGTTGGTATCAAAATGCAAATGGAATGAAATTTCTGCCATAGCTTTGCAGGAGTGTGGATAACAAGCATTTCAAAACACATGCACATTGAGAGGGTATCCAATATAATATCATCATCATTATTATCATTATTAGTAGTAGTTGTAACCTTGACTATCACTAAGTGTTGTATCTTTTTATTCTTGATGAATGTATTTTATTCTCCTTATGTACACTGAGACCATATACACCAAATTCCTTGTGTGTCCAATCACACTTGGCCAATAAAGAATTCTATTCTGTTCTATTCTATTCTATTCTATTCTATTCTATTCTATTCTATTCTATTCTATTCTATTCTATTCTCATTACCGTCATGGCTCATAAACGGTATAGATAGCTCAGTCAAGAAGGAATCAAGGTGACTAGGTGGCTCAGTGGCTAAAACACTGAGCTTGTTGATCAGAAAGGTCGGCAGTTCAGCGGTTCGAATCCCTAGTACAGGTCTCCTGCGTGAGCAGGGGGTTGGACTAGATGACCTCCAAGGTCCCTTCCAACTCTGTTGCTATTATTATTATTATTATTATTATTATTATTATTATTATTATTTATTCCTGTTTTGAAAATAAAGTCTGAAGCTAAGAAAATGTGCTCTTACTTCATTCTTTTCCCACAAGGTCAGCTCTTTTTTCATCCTTTCCAACTTCTGGGATCGATCCACTACAAAATAAATGATGTAAATACTTCCAGCAAGGCAGAGAAGCACCAAGATGTTTGCAATGATTCTTAAGGCTATTGTCACCGCCCTGAAGGGAGGAGGAGCACAGGCGGGGAAACAGAAAAGAGGTTCAAATCATTTCAGTAACTTATATAATAACAGGTTTAAATGACAGAGATCTGGCTTCGGTCTCTGTCGGATCAATTACATACCACTCGACGGAAAAATGATATGCATACATACAGGTTTGTGCTTTTTTTCTTTTCTTGCTCTTCCAAGATAGCTTCCTTAAAAGAAACAAAAACAAACTAGCGTATAAAACAGCCCTAATATTGCCCACTCAGAGAAAAAATTTGTGTGACTTACTGTATTTTTCGGAGTATAAGATGCACCTTTCCCCCCCCTAAAAGGGGGTGAAAATTTATGTGTGTCTTATACACTGAATGTAGCCCCGCCCACCCATTGGCCCCCCACCCTTTGGCCTCTGCCTCGCAGCAGTTACCTCCTCGCAAGCAAACAGCAAGAAGAAACAGCTCCTTTCACCTTCAGCACAGCCTAATTAGTACAAGTTGATTGGATCGGCCTCCCGACTCTCAGCTGTTTTGCTATCAGCTGTTTTGCTCTCAGCTGTTTTGCGCAGGGCTCTGCTGCTTGCTGCAAGGAGGTAAATTGCTGGAGCAGATATATATATATTTTTTCCCTTGTGCTAATTAAGCTATGCTGAAAACGAAAATGAAAGTAAAGCAAGCTGTTTGCTGTTTGCTGCAACAAGGCAAAATTGCTCAGAGGCAGAGGGAGATTTCTTTTTCTCCTTTTCCTCACCAAACAAGGTAGGTGCGTCTTATACTCTGGTGCGTCTTATACTCCAAAAAATACGGTATTTCTAACGAAGGTTTCATAGGAATATATAACCTTAAGCCTTAGCAGCACTCCCACACTTACCACCTCAGGAGTGGGTCCCCTTCTACTCAAGGAACTTCTGACTAGATGGATATATTTGTTTTGAGGCTCAGTAGCCTTCTAACCACTCTAACCACAACATGACGGTGCTTTTGTCTCATCTACTTATCATAGGCAGCCGTTTCTTTTCCCATTTGAACGTTGATTAGCTTACCCGGATGCTGTTCACTATGGCAGCAGACTTGCTCTCTGCAGCTTCAGGGTTGCCAATCAAGTAATCCCAGGCACAAAACAATCTCCAACAAAATGTGTAGTTTTCATCAGAAGCACTTGCAAGGCTCAGTCTTGAATTTTTGGCCATCCTGGAAAATAACCCATATATATTTATCCTCCAGCCCAATGATGGGTTTCTACCGATTCACCCCAGTTCAGGCAAACCAGTATCGGTGGTGGTGGGAGGCTCCGCCCACCCGCCTGGATGTCATCATGGACGCTCTGCGCATGCACAGAAGCACCACGCGCGAGCAAAACGGGCACACTGGGGTGGGCTCTAAATTTTTTTACTACCGGTTCTGTGGGTGTGGCTTATTTTGTGGGCATGGCTTGGTGGGGGGGGTAATGTGACTGGGTAGGCGTGGCCAACTTTTTTTTTTTTACTTTTAAAAGCATTTTTTTCTACAACCTTAAGAGGTTGCAGAAAAAAATGCTTTGAAACGCCTCTGATGATCAGGCAACTCAGCTGGGATCGCCAGAGGCTTCTAAAAGCATTTTTTCTACAACCTCTTCAGCCGAATTCCTTTAAAATTCCTTTAAAAACCTCTGACGATCCCAGCTGAGCGATCATCAGAGGCTTTTTTAAAAAAAACTTTTAAAAGCATTTTTTTGGCTGAAGAGGTTGTAGAAAAAAAATGCTTTTAAAAATAATTTTAAAAAGCCTCTGATGAAGGGGTAAGCGAGCGGCGACCGGGCCGGGGACCTGTTTGGGGGTGTGGCCAGACAATGTTATTACCAGTTCTCCGAACTACTACAAATTTTTACTACCGGTTCTTGTGAACCGGTGCAAACCAGGAGCAACCCACACTGGAGCACACAAACCCACTGCGTCTCCAGCCCAGATCTTGAAAGCCTCTGATATCTCAACCTACTCCTAATTCTGCCTAATATCATAACTAGAATTTCATCAGTACACACCTCCATTATTTTTACCCCGTTTATATTTGATTTTGTTTACCATCTTGCCTAATGAAGAGAACTGAAGAACGTTGATTCCTGTAGGTCATTTAATGGCTTTGAGTTCATAAAGATATCACTCACATTTAATTTAGGACTTTTTTTTTCTCCTGTTCTGGTCACTGCAAGAAATTTTTACTTTTAGTTGCCGAAAAGCTGGTTCATATATGCTCTTACTAATTTAGTGCTTGATTTGCCAATGTGAACAGTATGAATCAGTGCTCTAGGTCGTTAATCACTGCATTGCAAACGACAAGTACATATACAGCAAGATTTGGGGGTAATTCTAATCAAGATTTGAAAGAAGAATTAAATCTCCTCCTCTATCCTATGCTCCCCCCTTCCCCCCAAAACCAGGCTAAGTATTTCCCCCTCTTGGACTACCGGAGTAATTTGCAGAAGAAAAAATCATAAGTGCAAATATTGCAAGGACAGGTAAAACTTCTAAGGGTAATTTTACACTTCCTTTCATTGCCTAGGTCTACAATCAACATTGGTAATTCTAGAAGTGTGACATATTCTTGATGCATCATCTAGCTCCTTCATAGGAAGCTTGTTCTGAAATGTCCACTTAGTATCAGGAGTTCTAAATTAGCATTTCAGGAGCAGTGAATGTAGGTGGAAACCTTAAGCAAGCTCCTTTGTTTTTCAGTTTGTTGCTTGCAATTCCTACTCAACAAATGAGATGAAGTCAAATAATTTATTTATTTTTTTAAAAAAATGGATGGTTGTTATGAAAAGACCCGTCTTACTTCTTCAAGAGAATGATGAAACTGTAGGCAAAGACTGCCATTCCAACAAGGAAATAGGCAAGGGGCAGTCGGTAACCAGCACTCCCAATTTTCCTTGCCTGCCCATAATATCCATAGAACAAAACGGAGTATTGAAGGTAACCCTATAGAAATAGAAATAACATAATTATCGGTAGCACTTCTATCTAAGAAGTGTGTGTGTGTGTGTGTGTGTGTGTGTGTGTGTGTGTGTACTAGGAAGATTTTCTGCTTGCCCCCAAAGACCAGATGGTATCCAGATCTTGTGCAGAATGAAATTGATCACTGGGGATCCGCTTGTTGGGCGTAGTTCCAAAGGCATCTCCAGCCAAGATCTGTAACAAAACGAAGTCTGGAAATTAGATAGGTAGGTAGACAGGTAGATTTTACAATACTTGTACACCACCCAGTTCATACAGAAAATAGTTTGTTGACTTAGTCTCCGGACCACTTCAAGTATTCGGCTCATATGACACCACAAATGATGTCCCAAAGTCACTTCAATATACTTTTGAGGCATTTCAGGGTCTTCAATCAAGGTCAAATTGTCCACTGTTGTCCTAAGACAAGTTTTGGGTTCTATCTAGAAGTCTAAAAAAAAAAAATCACTTACTTCTGGCAAAACCACAAAGGCTCCTGTCATGATGGTGAGGACAATGTTGATGCCAAACAGCCATCGCAAAAAGATAAAGTAAGAGGCGACCCCTGAGCCAAAGTGACCTAAACACAAAGAAACATGTAACACATCATATCAGGCCCGCAAAGTCTTCCAGAAAAGGTGTTTCCAGCTTTTGTCAGAAGGTAGGCAATGCTGGAGACAAATGAATTTTCAACAGGAGACCATTTCAGCTCCATCACTGGAAAACAACCCTTCTGAACTTTCATCCATCTGATTTGTTTGTTTGTTTGTTTGTTTTGTCAAACATATATAAGATAACAGGTAAAAGTATAAACATAATTTGAATACATGAAAAGAGTGAGAGTAAAAAGGAATATTAGGACAGGGATGGTAGGCACGCTGGTATGCTTATGCATGCCCCTTACAGACCCCTTAGGAACGGGGTGAGGTCAACAGTAGATAGTCTAAGGTTAAAATTTAGGGGGGGTTGAGGATGTAACAACAGAGTCAGGTAGTGCATTCCAGGCATTGACCACACTGTTGCTGAAGTCGTATTTTCTGCAATCGAGTTTGGAGCGGTTTACCTTGAGTTTGTATCTATTGTGTGCTCGTGTATTGTTGTGGTTGAAGCTGAAGTAGTCATTGACAGATAGGACATTGTAGCAGATAATTTTATGTACTACGCTTAGGTCAGACCGAAGTCGGAGTAGTTCTAAGTTGTCTAAGCCCAAAATTTGAAGTCTGGTGGCATAAGGTACTTTATTGCGGGTAGAGGAATGGAGGACTCTTCTAGTAAAATATCTCTGGACTCTCTCAATTGTATTTATGTCCGATATGCAGTGCGGGTTCTAGACAGATGAGCTGTATTTGAGAATTGGTCTAGCAAATGTTTTGTATGCTCTAGTTAGTAGTACAGTATTACCAGAGAAGAAGCTACGCAAGATTAGGTTAACAACTCTTAATGCCTTTTTGGCAATGTTGGCAATGTCATGCCAACGCTAGTGAGGAGATGCAGTCCTACAAGTAACCCAGAACCGAACAATATTGAACAAACATTGTGTTGATACCATGCCTACTATTCAACTAGACAAAGATATGGAAACTGGATTTCAATTAGCCCAACGGCTACCTCCCAATTTCTAGCGTTTTCTTTTTATCCAACACTTTGAATTTTTCAAGACGTGCATACTTACTTTCAATTTTCTTGATTCTCATTTCCCAAGGAATGAAGATGACCACGAAGTTATATGCAAGCCTAATAAATTTTCTCCATAGCTAGAAAAGCAAAATAGCCACACACATTTAGAACATACACAGTCATTGCGTTGCTGATACTGTCTTTTCTTCTTCCAATTCCCCAATATTTTACGTGATATATTTGCTTTAGTAATTACATTCTTGAAATATTTTTATTTTGTATTTGAAATATTAGTAATATTTTAATGTGATTCTGTAATCTTTACAAAACTTTAATGTTGAAATATAAAAGAAGATGTATAGTAGCTGCAGTAATGAACTTTGCCATTGAACTGAATCTATTTAATATTGTATTTCTGAACCAAAACATAAACAGAAAACCCAGTTTTCCTTTTAATGTGTGTTTCTCCAACTTTTTCAGGTAGCTCACAAATTCCATTGATTAATGTCAATGTATTGACATTCAAATATTGGTCAATGTGTTGTAAAGCAACTCAACACATAAATTATCTATTCTGCAATCAAGGCTAATGAATTTTATAATGCATGCCCAGCTTTATAGCTGCTGGTGGAAGTATTTTACTAAAAGAAGGAATGAATCAAAGGCTCAAATTTCAGAAAGCCTTTTGACTCAGAGGAATTATTGAGTCTGTCATCTGCACCTCTATAACTGTCTGGTTTGGTTCTGCAACCCAACAAGACAGACCCAGACTTCAGAGGATAATTAGAACTGCAGAAAAAAACAATTACTACCAACCTGCCTTCCATTGAGGAACTGTATACTGCATTAGTCAAAAAGAGGGCTGTGAAAATATCTACAGACCCCTCGCATCCTGGACATAAACTGTTTCAACTCCTACCCTCAAAACGACATTATAGAGCACTGCACAACAGAACAACTAGACACAAGAACAGTTTTTTCCTGAACGCCATCACTCTGGTAAACAAATAATTCCCCCAACACTATCAAACTATTCACTAAGTCTGCACTACTATTAATCTTCTCATCATTCCTATCACCCATCTCCTCCTACTTATGACTGTATGACTGTAACCTTGTTGCTTGTATCCTTACGATTTATATTGACTGTTTTGACTTGATTGCTTATTTGTTCCCTATGCCTATCATTACGTGTTGTACCTTATGATTCTTGACGGATGCATCTTTTCTTTTATGTACACTGAGAGCATATGCACCAAAGACAAATTCCTTGTGTGGCCAATCACACTTGGCCAATAAAGAATTCTATTCTATTCTATTCTATTCTATTCTATTCTATTCTATTCTATTCAATAGCACAACCATTTCAGCAAGCTAAGTGAAAAAATTCAGCCTTCCAAAAGCTACATTTGATAGATAGTTGATGTTCAAATGCTGCATAATACACAATAGGTGAATTTTCCTCAAATGAATCTCTCCCTGATAAACTCATTAAAGGTAGAAAGCTTTGCCAGGAAAGAAAAGGAGATCTGTAAACAGTATCACTCATTTTCACTGAGATGACAATGATATCATTAGAAATATTTCTCTCTGCAAATAGAAATGCTGGGCTCATTTTCCTGAAAAGTGAGCTCTGGAGCTTTTAATAAAAACCAGACCAACCTCTGCTCCAGCAGCTTGATAGCCTCTTGTCCGAGTCAGCCGACCTTCGTACTTCAATACAATCTCTTTAGCTTGTCTGCCAAGAGAAGAAAGAAAGTGGTGGGCTTTTGATGACCCAAATCTCATTATAGCTCTGGTTCCGGCCATTCCCCTTTCATAAACAACATTAAATAAATGGCACCAAGTAGTGGGACTTTCTGCAGCCAAAGGCAGTCTGCCCTTGTTATTCTTACAACAATGGGAGCATCTTAATGTTTCTTCTTTTTTTAAAAAAAAAAAATCACAGGGAAAGTGAAGGGTACAAATCAGCAGTTACAGATGTGTTATTATTTGTTATGGAACCCCAACCAACCCATACAATTGTGGCAGTGGTGAAATCTAAAATTTGTTACTACCGGTTCTGTGGGCGTGGCTTGGTGGGGGGGGAGTAATGTGACTGGGTGGGCGTGGCCAACTTTTTTTTTTAAACTTTTGAAACCATTTTTTCTACAACTTCTTCGGCGAAGAGGTTGTAAAAAAAATGCTTTCAAAAGGCTCTGACGATCCCAGCTGAGTTGCCTGATTGACAGAGGCTTTTTTTTCTTTTAAATGCCTCTGACGATCAGGCAATTCAGCTTGGATCGTCAGAAGCATTTAAAAGAAAAAAAGGCCTCTGATGATTGTGCGGCTCAGCTGGGCATGCGGGGGGCGGGCAGGGATTTTTGCTACCGGTTCTCCGAACCACCCGCCTCCATCGCTACCAGATCGGGCAATCCAGTCCGAACCGGGAGCATTTCACACCTGAATTGTGGACAAGAGAAGAGAGCAAGGGGGGTGGGGGGGTGGGCAAAGTTTCAGGAGTCAGGGGTCCACCATCCAGCCCCCAGACTTTCAGGAAACATCACAAGGAAGACCCAAGTGGAGATTGGAGAACCAGTAGCGGAAATTTTGAGTAGTTCGGAGAACCGGTAAAAATTCTGACTGGCCCCGCCCCCATCTATTCTCTGCCTCCCAAGTCCCAGCTGATTGGGAGGAAAAGGGGATTTTGCAGTAACCTTCCCCCGGAGTGGGGTGGGAATGGAGATTTTACAATATCCTTCCCCTGTCACGCCCACCAAGCCACACCGGTAGTAAAAAAATTTGAAACCCATCACTGATTTCTTGGATTTCTTTGCCGTGACTCCCTATCTTCCATCCTGTTAGTTGGTAACAGAGGGAGGTGATGTCTAATCGTGGTGGATGCCCCCACTTGGGGATGGATAATACTCAACTAGTTTGAACCAAGTAACTAAAAAGAAATGGGAATACTGTACGCGTCTTTGAACATTAGAAAATGATAGCCACCTCCACAGTTACTTAAGAGAGTAAATGTCCTTGTTAAAGGGACTTTCGGAAGACAAAAACTATTCCAACTTCCAGAGTAGATTGTGGATACAGGATCTCCATTTCTTGGCATAGCTCTTTTTCTTAAGCCAAAGAGCAGTACAGTAACACAAAGATCAATACATAAAATACAGCCATAGTCTTATTTACAAGTAATAAGTGAGCCTCCAATAACTCAGGTTTTATTAGCTGCACACAAAATCTAGCTACCTTAACTATATCATACTTCTTATCTGACAGAAAATAAGGAGCATTAAAAATGGCCTCACTGGCCAGAAAGAGGAAATTAAAAACTGCAAAAAATAACTTTTCTATGCCTGTCTGTAATCTGAAATAAAGGAAAACATGAGCAAATCAGCTCAATAGTCCTCGATCCAAGAGAGGTGGGAGGTGGGAAAATGTTAAAAGACTGTTGTTAAATTTATCAAAGCCAATTCTTTCTAGGGACTTAAGTGGCTAAATTACAAGCATTGACCATACTCTGGACTCCTGAAAAACCATTTCTTTGGTGGAAAATTTCAAGAAGGGGCATCTCTTTTCTTTCCTTAGGATGGATTGTTGTGTACAATAGAAGTAGAAGAGAAAAAAATGTAGGGGGAGAGAGAAAGAGAGGGAGAGACAGAGGGAGAAGAGTTTAAGACAAAAGAAGTAGCAAAAGCAGAAGAAAGGTAACAGTAACAGAGTTGGAAGGGAGATTGGAGGTCATCTAGTCCAACCCGCTTGCTCATGCAGGAGACCTGTACTAGGGATTCGAACTGCCGAACTGCCGACCTTTCTGATCGACAAGCTCAGTGTCTTAGCCACTGAGTCAGGGGTGAAATCCAGCAAGTTCTGACAGGTTCTGGAGAACCGGTAGTGGAAATTTTGAGTAGTTAGGAGAAGCAGCAAATACCACCTCTGGCTGGCCCCAGAGTGGGGAGGGAATGGGGATTTTGCAGTATCCTTCCCCTGGAGTGGAGTGGGAATGGAGATTTTGCAGTATCCTTCCTCTGCCATGCCCACCAAGCCACGCCCACCAATCTACACCACACCCACCACACCAAGCCACGCCCACAGAACTGGTAGTAAAAAAATTTGGATTTCACCACTGCACTGAGCCACCTAGTCAGATAAGGTAAGGAGAAAAGGTACTAGAGAAAGATAGCATCCTAACTTAAACTATGTTCATCTGGATGCAGTCAACGTGGTACGATGGTGAAGGTATTGGGTTAGGACATAGAGACCCAGCTTCAAGTCTCCACTCAGCCACAGAAAGTCCCTTGGTGACTATGGGCCAATCCTTCCGTCTCAGCCCAAGAGGCAGTGTGGTATAAGGGTGACACTGTTAGCATGGGGAGACCCAAGTTCTAATCCTCCTTCAGCCATAGAAGCTGCCTGGAGGACTTAAGACCAGCCATTTTCTTTCAGCCTCATTGTTGGTGAGGGAAAGAATAGGCAAAAACAGAGTACAATATAGGCTACCTTGCATTTCTGGAGAAAAGGCTGGCTATAAATCTGACAGATACATAGCCTGCAGCTCAGATACCTTTCCCCCCCCCCCAACCCCCCCAAGGAGATGCAATCACTGAATGTGACTATTGGCTTTGCAACCTTAAAACAATTGTTTCACACCAGTCATTCTCCACAAGTGACCCCATTACCTCAATGCTCGGAGTTTTTGTCTCATGGGCCATGGCCTGCAACGAATGTTGGCCATAATTTCCTTCTGAAATTGTATGTTCTGGAAGATCTGTTCGGGGTCATTGCTGTCGCCCTTCTCATCCCCATTATCTTCATCTGAGTTGCTAAAAATAGCCGCACCCCACACATAAAAAAAAAACCATTATTATCAATACTTCTCTCAGAAACAATCACGGAAACACACATTTGTTTATTTCCAAGCTTACAATTTTACAAACCCAGTCCATGTATTTTACCCCAAACGGCCATTGGCTTAGGAGGAAGATGGGCATAGTTATTATTTGCACACACACAAAAGGTTTCGTTTTCCTTCTCTTACCTATGTGTGAATCTATGCCAAGCAAATCATAAACGTGGGTGACAGAAAGTGCTCCATCAAACAAACCCAAATACTTGGTTTAACTCTGCTTCAAATTTCAAAGCTGAGAAACTTTCTAGAGCAAAAAGTCCAATATCAGCACAGACTTGCTGTATGTTTAATTACAAGGTCCCTGTTCCTACTCATCTGAACGGCATTATCAGATTTTGTCATTGCCCGTCAATAGTTGTGCTGAAGTGGGCATTTGGACAGGTGATGTTTGCCATGCCAAGGCGACAGAAGAACAGCACCTGAAGAATTCTTTCCCTTGTACCAGGTTTCAGCTGTTTGATGGAATAGAGCAGAAAATCAATTCCTCACCTGTGAGGTGGTTCCGGATAGGTGTAGATGCTGGCATGTCGCTTCACAGTTTTAGATCTCTTGCAGGTTCTTGCATTTTTCGCGGCTGAACTGCCCCCTCCAAATGACATCTTAGAACTTTCTGATGCTTTTTTTTTTTAAAGGATTTTTTCTTAAAAGCCACAAGCAGAGTAGCCAAGTTGCAAGAAGGTGGAGGAAAAGATGATTAGAAACCAGATATAAAGAGAGTTATAAACTCACAGATGTTGAAGTGGACTCTATTTCCATCCCTGCCTGCATCAGACACTCCTAGCTCTGGGAAATATCAGAAAGCTCAGAATACGTTCATGGTCTTAAAGGCACAGCACATCAAAAACTGTAGCACTGTAGCATTAATGCTGAATTTGCTTCTCCCATGTATCCAGGGTAAAAAAGAAAAAAAAAAAAAGGAAACTGTTTTGGTATAGTAGCTGCAATCCTAAATTATTGTAGCAGAAATCAGCTGACACTGGCTTACTTTATAATATGCATTTAGCCCTAATCAAATAACGGAGATAGTCCTAGCGCATGAAACAATCAATTTTGATTATAATTAATGTTTCAGAACAGAAAGATTACACCAGTATAGATTCACTGGATTACATCAGGGTTTTGTAAACTGGGCAGCTCATTGTGGAAATGGATCAAAGTAACCAACTGGGTTTGAATTCTTTGTAACCTGCAGGGGTTCTTCAATGCACATAGAAAGTTGTTAAAAACTTACCGGGAAGGATAATAAATAAGCACATAATGGAAGACCCTCCAATAAAGGTAGTGGTACAGGTTAAGAGCCTTGGTGGCACAGCAGACTAAAGCACTGTTAAGTAACACCAGCTGCCTGCAATTACTGCAAGTTCAAATCTCACCAGGCTCAAGGTTGACTCAGCCTTCCATCCTTTTGAGGTAGGTAAAATGAGGACCCGGTTTGTGGGGCAATAAGCTGACTTTGTATAAAAAAAGGAACACCGTTTGGGGGGGGTGCAAAAGCCCTACTAAGCAGGTATATACAGAAGTATGAAGGCTATTGCTTAATGCATTGTAAGCCGCCCTGAGTCTCCGGAAAAGGGCAGCATATAAATCGAACCAATAAATAAATAAATAATAAAAATAAGGACAAATAGGCTGAAAAACAGCTTCTATCCCAGAGCAGTAACTATATTGAATTCTACTGTATAGTGCAATATTAATGCAAGATCAGGGGGTTTTAATTCAATTGTATAGAATGTGAAGGATGTGTGTTTTTGTTTTAAAATTTATTGAGTGGAGTTGAATAAGAATTGTTTTAATTGTTAAAACCCAATTTAAAAAAAAAAGAATTGTAGGTGAGCAGAAGAAAGGAAGAAGGAACTCATATTTCCTCCTCCCTTCTGTGCCAGCATTTCAGTTACTCTATGCACTACTGGCTGTGAGATTTCAGCCACATAAATCAACAGTTCATGCCCTTTCTGGTGCTTTATTTCCTCCTCTGGAAGGCAGAACATTAAGTACTCGCCACTAGATTTGCTGCCAAGTGCTGGTTGCTTCCATGCACCTTCCCAGCTCATCTACCATATTATTATGGACTGAGAAATGTTTCCCTTCCAATGGCCACAGTTAATTCTATATACATTCAATCAACTCAGATGCAAAGTCTTGAGCATTTTACTTTCCTCACCTTCTTTATGTTCCTCAGCCTGCTCTGTTATTCTTTTACAACCAGATTCAGACTTTTAGAGAACACTGATTAAGGAGCGTCAAATGCTTTTATAAAAAGCGTACATTTAACACAGTTTGTTCACACCTATTGAGCCAAAGCTTGAGGGGGGGAAAAATCAGTCGACTGGCTTTGCACAACATAAACTAAGCCACAGAGCATAGTTTATAAACATGCTAAACCACAAACAAGTAAATCGTATGGTGGCTTAGACTGTTGGGCAAATCCACTCGATATCTTGCCATGTGCTGAAGAAGAAAATCCCCCAAATGTCCATCCCATGGTGGTTGACAATTCCTGTCATGAGAGATGGGGGGGGGTGAGATATATTATATGTATATGTATAAGCATATGCGTATATGTATATGTATATATTATATGTACATATGTACTTCCTCCCACTTATGACTGTATGACTGTAACTTTGTTGCTTGTATCCTTACGATTTATATTGATTGTTTCCTAGTATGATTTGATTGCTTATTTGTTCCCTATGACTATCATTAAGTGTTGTACCTTATGATTCTTGACGAATGTATCTTGTCTTTTTATGTACACTGAGAGCATATGCACCAAAGACAAATTCCTTGTGTGTCCAATCACACTTGGCCAATCAAGAATTCTATTCTATTCTATTCTATTCTATTCTATTCTATTCTATTCTATTCTATTCTACTCTACTCTACTCTACTCTACTCTACTCTACTCTACTCTACTCTACTCTACTCTACTCTACTCTATTCTATTCTTGTTGTGATGCTGTGTTTTACTATTTTATAACTATGTAATTACTTATTTTTGGTTTTACATTTTTTGTAATATGGTTGATTGGATTTTGCTGTAAATCATTGAAGGATGGCTATGCCAGAAGTGTGAAATATAAAAATATGTGAAATAAAGACTTGTTATTAGAAATAAACTATTATGTCTCCTTGATGATGTTAGTGAAGATATGGCTGCCATTGGCTACCGTGAATACCTGCTCTCCAATGATTTTGGGTTTTCCTGTGTCCAGAAATATACCAGCTGATAGGCCACTGGCACTGAGGAAGATAAATGGCACAGGAGGAAACAGAAGTGAGCTCATTTTTGCTGTGCTTTACCTCACAGTACCTGCTGCTCTACCAGTGTGTCAGCCAAATTATCTTTAAACATAAAAATAGGTTTCCAGAAGACTACTGGACCAGTGTTCAAAAATAGCCTGAAGGATAATTTATCAGCATGAAGCATATCCATACCAATAATCTTATCACTTGAACAGTTTTAAAGGTTGCTTCAGCCTTCTTCCCAAGAACCCACTTAAAATTGTTCAAGATCATCCAACTATTAAAATTACTTGGTTTATTTCTTGTTGGCAGGTAATTCTAGGTGGGAGTGAAATCCAGGCAACGAATTCACCAACTGTTGTCTTTAAGTTATCCTACATTAAAATGTGGAGGACATCACAACAACAAATCCCCTTACTGATGCAGAATACAGTTTGGGTTGGTGCAAAATTATATTGATAGACATTTCTGGTAACTCAAGAACTGAAGCAATATGCACTTATACAGTTGTAAAGAAGCACACAATAGTGCTCACCACTGTCCCCATGGCCAATATTACTTGGGCTATTTTTTTGCTCAAGTTTTTGACTTATTCATGAGCAATATTCACAAACTTGCACATCTGCAAGTCTGCATGTATGTTTTGTTTTCAGCAGCAAATCAAAATACCCAGGTGTATTTTGACTTTCATTGACAAGCAGCTTCTTTTTTAGGCAATCATGGACCTGCCAACAATTAGTTCAAAAAATGGTTGTGAATATAGGTATCTACGGCCAATCACTCAGTGCCATTATCTTCTCTTACAACTCCCACACAATTTACTATTGCCTACACCAGGGGTCTGCAACCTTAAACACTCAAAGAGCCATTTGGACCCGTTTCCCAAAGAAAAGAAAACACCAGGAGCCACAAAACCCTTCCTGTGCCTGATTATTTCTTGAGTGGCCACAAAACAAGCATATGTAGTTGAATTAAATGTTCTGTTTTCTTCTGAAATTTTTCTTGGATTTATCCATGGTTGGCCTACCAGGGGTTGGGAAGCTCAATAAATTGCAGGCCGGTGGGTATTGCACATTGGTTCTCCGAACTACTCAAAATTTCCGCTACCGGTTCTCCAGCACCTGTCAGAACCTGCTGGATTTCACCCGGGGGGAGGGGGGTCAGCAAGAGGTAGAATTCAAAAAAAAAAATCTCTGCTTAGCGCTCATTGCATTATTGATAGAGATAACAATCGCAAACTTTCTTAAAAGCTCAAGTGCAATGCATCTCAATGGACACTACTTGCACGCTGAGTTTCCATCCATTAAATGTGGAGAAATGTTATCGTATGTACATGAACAAGCTCTTAGCAGTGCTGGGATTTTAAGGGCCATCTGGCAAAACACTGTACAGGTATCAATTATAAAAGATAAGAATTTGCTTATATCCCATATGGGAGGCTTTGGAGAAAGGAGGTTGAATGTGTTATTGCCAGAATGGATATTTGCCAGTTTTCTGAGTCTGTCAATTTCATCACCCTTTGGGATACTATCACTATCCCCATGCAGCTCTCAAGCTCACAGCACAGGTTTGCACGCTGAAAAAAAATCACAAATACTGTCCAAGAGCATCTCTCGGGAGATGCTGATCTATCTACTCATGCCTATATGGCAAGTCGGTAAATGGAAACTGACAGCTTTTCAGTAAAATATTTCCAGACTGGCCATTCACTCTCCTTGAACAAATTGCAGTAAAAAGATTTTCTGTTCCAATTGAGCCAGGTTTGAGTCACAAGAACTTCCTGAGTATTAGTGTATGCTCTACGGCCTTCCCCAACCCTAGGAGACCCTCCAGAGGCTGCAAACAGCCCGTTTCCTGACTTCCAGTGGGCCCGGAAGGCCCAAAAATTAGCTGGCCGGCACGCACATGCGCGCTGGAGCTGAGCTAGGGCAATACTCGCATGCCCACAGATATGGCTCCGTGTGCCATATGTGGCACGCGTGTCATAGGTTCACCATCACGGCCCTAAACCATTCCTCTCCATAAAATAGTAATGATAGAGAACCACTCCAGTATAAAACCTTTAGTAGGGAAGAAGCTCTTGGTAATCAATACTTCCAAAGGAAGAATAGAAAAATTATCATTCATTCTGCTCCTAAAATAAAAGACAATCTGAATAAGAATGACAGATAATCAGCAGGATTTTGCCAGCCACTGAAATATTAATCTCAATTGGAAATTAAAACCTCTGCACAGCAGTCATTTTTACCCATTGGATGATCTTGGCATTGCAGGAGGCATGGACATTTGTTGCCTTCTGTTTCTAATGCCAACCCTAAATTATTTTCTCGCTATTCGTACACACTTTCTACTTCTCTGCTATGGAAACAACTCCATACGCTCGCATCCTGCCTCCCATCCATTGTACAGGAAATGGAAGAGAGATGTAATCCTAGAGCTGAACACACTGACACCAACGAGAAGCAGCATAAGCCCCAAGAATGCAAACAGGGCCAGGTTTTTAATCAGTGTCACTCCACTTGGCACCATGGGTGTCAGTGTCAAAACCCCCACTGCTATTTTCAAGCAGTCCTAAATTAGATAATTAGCCAGACATGGGAACAGCCACAGCAGCTGTCAATCCGCAGCTAAAGCAGAAAGGGGCAAGTTT